CTGAATTGTAGGCAAAAAGAGACGCGAACAGGTCCGTTTTCTCTTTAACCGTATGCGCCAGTGTGCCATCTGGTTTTACCAGCGGAGGCAGTGTAGGCCGATAGAAGTTTGTCTCGATACCTTTGGCGAGAGAACAAAAAGTTCTAGTGCCGGGTGGTCTGACAGAGAGTTTTGCACCAATATGTTTAATGCGATCGAGACTAGCTTTCCGTAATGCTTTTTTGTAGGACTTGGCGGTCTGGTTGAAAGTTCTCTTCTTGGAGCTAATATCCGGAGCTTTGCGGGTTCGAGCGTCAATCCAGGATGGGTACCTACGTTAAATGCTTGCGCTTTCAGATTGAGCGCATTCAGCGTTAAACAATGGGCGAGCTTTGCTACCGATGGGAGCGTCAGAGAAGGGGATAAAATACTCCATAACTTGTTATCGCAACCGCGCAGCTCGACGGATCCGCAGAAGAGAAACAGACCTCCCGCCAAGGATAAGATACAAAAAAGTGTCGCATCTCATCAGCTGACTTATACCGCCATATTCGTCGAACACCTTGGGACTCGTAATCAGGTGTATAATATGACTATACAGATTTCACCAGACAGTGGTCAGATGTACCCAAAGGAGAGGTAACGTGTACTTCATATCTGTCTGGTTCGGTAGTCAGCAGAAGATCCAAGCAATTTGTGTTATCGACTACATCGGGTACCCTAGTCGCTACGTTTACCATCTGAGAAAGATCTAGCGACAAATCAAAATTCCACGCTTCTCTTAAAGCATGGTCGGTCTTCTTGTATGGGAACAGCTAGTCTTGGTGACAAGCGTTAGTCTCCCATAAAGACCAACTGTGCAGTGGGATACCGATTCAGGGCCACGTCAGCAGCCTCACTAAAGAGATCAAATAATCGTATTGTCCCCTGGTTACCGCTGTGCGATCGATAGACACAGGCATAAAGGATTTTATCAATACCTGTATCTACCATCAACCAGATTGACCAAAAAAGTGGGGTCTTCAAGGTGACAGAGAGGCTGGAAGCAGATGTCATTGCGGACGTACACACATACTCCGACACGTGGATGGAATTTGTACTCCAGGGAGCATCCAGGATAGAATAGAATAGAATAATTTTTATTCAATATACATTATATGTGTAATTCTTATTGAAAGTCATTTTTTACTTTACCACTGGTTCGAAAGAAAACTCTCTGTCCTGGGAAGAACCAGCAAGACACCCAGCGGGACTTTTTTTTAAAATAAATAATAGTCAAGGTACGCCGCATTCAATGGACATCCAATTTCCGTCTCCGTCAAGAAAAGTAGGTGCGGCTTCTCAGTCTCAAGATGGTAATGGACTGCGCTGAGACTAGAGTGCAAGCCTCGAATATTAGTGAGGTGCACTTTTAGTGACAGGACGTGCAACCGCTGTATTACACTACTTTTCTTTTTAATGTACATAATAAGTGCTGAGAGTGAATAAGTATGGAGAATGGCAGTTGAACAAGGTGTTGCATTATCAACCAAACGATACTATCAGAGTTAGTGTGCCCATGGGAACTTGATCTGGAGACTGCGGGGACGCCCGAACCCCCCAGAGATCGCCATTGGGTCCTCTGGCCTGGTCGTTAACCGGCACGATGGGGCCACCCTGTGATTTTTCGCTAGTATGCGGGGCAACCTTTCATGAATGGCTAATTCACTAATTGGGCCCCCAACTACCTGCGGTCGGCCAGCGGAACACCGTGCTTCCGATCCCGCTACCCTCCACGAGCAAGCACCCGACACAGCAACAACTGACGCTTCGTACCCGGTTTACATTCACAACCAAAAAATCAACGGCCGAAACCTACCACCGGAATTGGTGCTGCTCGTTTAGCACTACCCGGGGACACGTGTAGGGTGTCAGATTTCAAGTATTTCCTAGGGACGCAAGCAGCCTCGTCCCCCAAACATTTAGAAAATAAAAAAGATGGAAATGCAAATATTGAAAACAGGTATCTCTGAATTTCAATCAATAACCCATGTAATTTTTATTATGTCTTATTATAAGATTGAATTAAGTACATAAGTTATTCTTTACAGTTAGAAGTTGAGGAACTAAAAAAAATGCTGCATTATTAGAGGAAGAGAGAAATAAAATTTTATTACAAAAAGCTAAAATAAGATTGGAGGAACTGAAGAAATCAGTACATAAGAAACTTTCTAACTAATTTGTCTCTTTTTAGTATAATGATGATCTAAAATAAAAGTATTATTATTGGATTTTTATTTATTAAAAATAATTAACATTAAGAAAAAAATCTTTCAACGAAAGTTTGACAAAGAAATCGTTACTATTGGGGTTTATAGTAACGGTGCAACATCGAAACCAAAGAGAATATAACCACTACGTTTAATCGAAACCATGAATACCATTGCTATTCTAGCTCCGTGGCAACAAGTCATCTACCAATAATAATGCATTATAAAGTGTTGCACATGCATGTATCAGTTACAGCTACAACTACAACCATATCCATCTTGATTCCCAATCCCAAATGAAGACAAGGAAATCTTTTCCAAATATCAAAACATCTTTTAACCATATTTCTGGTTTTTACTTGACTTCTGTTATAATTTTATTATGGAGATGAATTTTGTGATAAAAATGGTTTCAGAAGCACATTGTTAGCACACCCACTGTCCCCTAAAATTACTGACAGACAGTACACATGATAGTTTTTCTACAAGGCACAGTTGTATTTCCATTATCAACAGTTACTGTTTTTTAGGCAAATCCTACTAATAGGTATTATAAACGCATGGACGTATAAAAAGGTTATTAGGTTACATATATATATACATAGGTTATTAGGTTAATTAACTTTGAATATAAGCCAATCAACCATTCAGCCCACACTTAAGAGAGGACCTTCAAAATATTTATTTGAAAAATACAACAACTGCGTGGCACATTTACTGTGCCGGCTACCTACATAGCTGAAACAGTTTTTATTCTGAATTGCTGGTCTATTATTTATACGAAAGTTTTTGGATAGCTTGAACGCCACTACACCAGTAGTTTTGGGTTACTCAAAAACACATCTTGTTAGTGGAAAATGTTTTAGTATTTTTGTTAGATTGACATATTTTCGGTACAAACTTTTGTTTTTATAAGTCTCATATTTATTATATAAATACCTAAGAGAGTAGTTACCCCTCGAAGCTCGAACTTCAAATATTTACTGAACGAGGATTAGGTACCCCTGCAATTTATTTATTTTCTGTAGGCTCATTTAAGAAACAAGCCCTCAAATAGGATTATTTCAGGACTAAATCTTAATAGTTTTACTTAGAGAATATAGATTTTAGTTTACTTCCGTAAGCTAGAATATAGGCAACCGGTATAATATAGGAAAACGGTAATTCGTGAGTACTACTGTAGGCAATAAGCACTATTCGATATTCGTTTATGTTTGTGACGTCATAGGCGAGCGTCTGGGGCTGTATCAAGTGATTTATATATAGGGGTACCTATCTGGCTGAGTTGGAGGTCGTGGAGGAAGGCATGCCATGTGTTCCTGATGCGCCTTCCCTGTGACCATGACAATAAACTTCATGATATACAAATAATAATAACAAAATTACTTTACAAAAGACCATGCGAAGTCGCGTACAACTAGTGTATAATAAATGTTACCTTTTCTTATATTTTAGTTTCACACAAAGTTTAAAACATAAAGAAACTATTTACTGAAATTACCTTGTTATATTTAGAAGCTACATGTTTTCGTTCTGTAATTTTCTTGGGTGATATCTAAAGTTCATCCCCGCTTAACGTCCAGGTAAACTGATAACTTATTTCTTACCTGGGGCAAATGAGTTAATAATACCTCTAAGATTACTACATTTCTTTTAGCGTTGGGGAGACAATTTCACAAAATATGTTAGGTACCAATAAATTATGACCATAGTAAATCTGTTATGTCTTATGTGGAGTTTTTGTGTAAGAAATAAAACAATATCCATTTAAAATTAAGTTTTAATGTTGATGAACATCATATCATAACACTCAAATGAAGTTATAGTTTAAAAACATTTCCTTAAAACTAACTTACAACTAATTATTTATACACTATCTGCAAAGGATTCTTTTTATGGCTAATAATGAGAATGATTTATGATGTAGTCTCAAATAAACAAAGATATACACAACACTACATACATTTCATTTAACACACAAACCATTTTCAATTTATTGTAAGAATATGCACATATGCATCTGAAATTATTTTGCAACTAACATGGTTTTAACTGCATATGTGTCCAGCAGTGGAGTCTCACTAGCTGATAAAAAACAATGTGTGTGTCAAAGACTTGGGAATGGATCCGGCATCACTTGAAATGTATGTAGAGTTCTAGCTATATTTGCCTGTTGGTCTAAGGCTGTAGTTTAATAAAAAATAACAGTCACAAAATGCTGGAACCCGTAACATATAGCTACTCAAATGCAAGATAACTTAATAGAAAAGAAATACAATTAAGAAAAAACTTCACCAAAACAATCTACTGAAATATGTTTATCTTTTCCCTTGTATTACTTTCATATAGACCTGTTTACTGGTATAATGAAATTCATTGCAATTCATAATCAAACTTATATATTATACATCTTAGCAAAATGTGTAAACACAATTTACTAAGATCTCTATTTAATAAAACTACACAAATTACATAAAAAATTTCCAATCTTCATACAAAGATGAATGGTGTCTATTTCAAAATAACCTTTTTGATTCAGCACTTTCAATTGCTCACTCAGTGTGCTTAACTATTGCGATATCAATGCAAGAATTGCCATCTATTAATATAAAATGAAATTATCATTAAGTATAAAAAAGCAATGTAATATGACAAATGTAATGTTCATTCAAATGCTAATTGATTACCTTCTTAATGTGCCTTAAATTTAGAGGCGTAGAAATTTAAACTTTTCTAAAGAATAAACAGTCTACAATAATTATAAACTTATATTTACTCTTCTTGCCTCTCATTATCCTTGTCCTTCTTTTTCTTTTTCTTTTTCTCCTTACGAACTGAATTATCCGCATCTTCTGCAGTTACATCAGCTGCCTCTACCGTTGTGTCGGCATCCTGATCTTTGTTATGCTTCTTCTTTTTCTTTTTCTTTTCTGCTTTCAATTCTGTTGAATTATTCGGGTCATCTGCATTTGCTGTGCTGGCTGTTCGTTTTCTATTGCTCTCTGTCTCCATTTCTCCATTTTCATCATTAACGGGTTCTTGTTTAACTTTGTAGTCCACAAAACTGTTCAGCCATTCCGCTGGTGTATTCTCATTGGGCTTGCCATATTTGTCTAATTTTCCTTGTTGTATAAGCTGCTTCTTTTGTGAGGCCTTGGGCCCTAAGCCCCATTTTCTGGGATACGTGTCTCTCTCCATAATAACTCGTTTTAATTTAGCAACCACTCCATGGTCACAAGATGCCATTGTAGCGGTAGTCATGAGGGCCACAGCTAGAGCAACTGCCTCACCTTTAGTTGTTACAATAACTATTTCTTGATCAATTTCAATTCCATCCTCATACCTTAAGACACCAGGCAGGAGTACTTTTGCACCATAACACACTGCATTAATAGCACTATCCTTGATAAATATTCTTTTATGAGCAATAAGCAAACCTTCCAGAGGTTTGATAACTCGTCGTAAGTATGATTCATCTTTGTGATTTTCAAAAGCCCACTGAGCATCTAAAATGTCGTGCATAGTCACCAAGCCTTCTTTCTCACCCTGTATACCAGAACGGACACGACGGAGCTCAATCATCTGTCCACCAACTCCCAGCATTAGGCCCAAATGCACACACATTGTACGAATGTAAGAGCCAGCTTCACAACTCACCCAAAACACACCAATGTTCCTCTCTTGATCAAAGTCTAATAACTTGCTGTCGTAGACGGAACGCACGCGTAGTTGTCGCTTCACAGCCGATATGAGTGGTGGTCGTTGGAAAAGTGCGCCACGAAGCTTTTCAAGTCCCTGCGTCACTTTTTGAACATTTTCCACTGCAGAATGCAAATTGAAAACGGCTACATACTCCTTACCGGCGTTCTGTTGGGATTTCACTAATCTCGTTGCTCTATCTATGCACACTATTAAGCAACCAGTTACCTTAGGATCGAGTGTGCCGCTGTGGCCCGTCTTTTCCACTTTGAGAATACGTTTGATCCAGGAGACGACTTCGTGAGAGCTGGGGTTGCTCGGTTTATCAACATTAATGAATCCAGATTTTACGTAGTCCGAAATAGGACGTTTTAACGGAGAGTTACCAAACGGCAACGGTGTGTAATGGTTAGTGCGTATATTGAGTCGATCAAAGTTTTTCAGCAGCAATGGCCAATACGCTGTATCTAGCTTTGTGGGAGCTTCTGATGGTTCGATTTTAAAATCGCCAATTTTCTGGAAAGCACCCAGTGTCACATGCTCCTTGTTTTTCTTCTTTTTTTTCTCCGAAAACACCTCAGTGCCGGGTTGCAAGACTTCTGTCATTATGTATATCTATAATTTTCAGTTATCCGTATTAAAAAAACAAATATATTCTTCACACCTCATTTACAATTTAGTTTCGATTAGTTTCTATAAACACGTGCGGAATAGGTTAGTTTTGTTGTTGTTGTTAGAATTCCCCATTTAAGACAAGCAAAGATCTTAGACCATACAGTCTAGTCTGTTGGGTTCACATTATTATTACATTTTCGGTTAGCGCTATTTATGAAAGTAAAACTTCCGATTCACGATGCTGTATAGGTTTCTTTTAGTCTCCAGTTAGTCCCTTGCTCAATGTATGGCACTATGGCAGTGAAAGTTGGGTGTGGTAGAAGAAGCGCGAGAAGTTTGTTAGGTGTGAAACTGTATGACAGGATGAGAAGTTGTGTTGTAAGAGAAATGTGTGGTTTGCAAAATGATATTGTGACCGGGATTAAGAAAAGAATGCTTCGGTGGTTTGATGACGTAGAAAGAATGAATGAGGAAAGAGTAACAAAGCTATGTTGCAGAAGTTATTGGCAGAGCCAGCAAAGAACGTCCTAGATGGGAGTTAATCGACCAAATATGCGATATAATCAAGATGGACAAACAATATTTTAAAAGACTAGTTCGAGAATTCTTTAAAAGGTATAATACCACCTGATTTATCCGATTTTTGGTTTTCTCCCTCTTTCGCTTTGTAATTGATATTTTGTATAATATTGTTGCGCGCCACTATTAATGTCTTGTACATGGCAACACTAGTTACACTAGCGCCCCATAGTGTTGAGTAAATGAAAGTATTGCGCGCCACTATTAATGACTTGTACATGGCAACACTAGTTACACTAGCGCCCTCTAGTGTCGAGTAGCAGAACTATGAGAGTCGAGATCCTTCCAGAAATTTCGGGACCGATATGTACTCGAACATTCTAGATGTCGCTACAGTAGAAGGTTCTGGAAACTATCTGAGGCCCTATATAAGGCCGGTATAGACCACGACCGGGGCAGTATTGAATTGGCGATACAAGAGACTTCGAAGCGAAATAACGGCGAACTGTGTTTTATTATTAGTGTGATTTTAGATTGTAATTAGTGTTGTGTAATAAAAGTGTCAATTTTGGTAATTCAATCGGCAGTTTTTAATTGTCTCGAACCCCAAGCTCGTAACAATTGGTGTCAGAAGTGGGATCAAATATGCCGATTTTACCTAAAGACGACACGGAGGGTATCCGTACCCGAAGTCAACGCCAACAGGAGACGGACCAGAGACGATTTGGTAATGCAACGCCGCAAACGTCGGAGGGACAGCTGCTAACCACGGAGGCCGGCCCGTTAGCAGCTCCTGCATCTGCAGCACCTGACTTAGGTGCTCTGATAATGATGCTGCAGGATCAGGCTCGCCGACAAGAGGAACAGACCCGTCGGTTGGAAGAGCAGCTGCAGCGCGGTATGGAAGAACAGATGCTCCTCAGGAAGGACCTTCACGCTACCTTCGTGAAAGAGATAAAGGAGGTGAAGGATAGGGTTGCTCAACATGACAACCGCCTGTCGGAAGCTGAAAACCGAATCGACCAAGTGAACAATCGGGTTGACAACGTGATGGCTGATGTGAAGAAAACGCTGGACGACCTCAAACTTGGGGATGGAATTACAGTTCCCGTGGTAGCTACAACACCTTCGCTACGTGGATTTAAAGTGCCGCCGTTCGACGGGACTTCTTCCTGGTCGGCCTACAAAATCCAGTTCGAGGCTGTCATGAAAGCGAACGGCTGGAATAAAAGTCAGGCCATGACTGCTCTCACCCTAGGCCTACGTGACCAGGCCTTAACTGTTCTGGAAGCTCTCGGTAAGGAAGTGACTTACGAGCAGCTCCTTGAGGCATTGGAGGCGAGATATGGCGATGCTCACCTGGAACATGTCTTTCGTGCGCAGCTCAAAGATCGCGTGCAACGCAGTAACGAAAACCTGCAGCAGTAGGCCCTTGAGGTGGAGAAGCTGGTTCGAAAAGCGTACCAGTCTGTACCTGCGCTCATTGTAGGGAACCTGGTGCAGACATTCATCGACGGCATTCGCGACCTTGAAGTCTGCTGTGAGGTTCGGACACCACGAGACGCTTAAGGACGCCTTGACCCATGCACTGGAGGTGGAAGCCGTGCGGCAGGATCATCGTTCCCACCGCGTCAGGGAGGTTGCAGCAGCCAGGGCTCGGAAAACGGTTGAAATTCTAAACCGGTTTCGGTCATTGACCTCAAAACCGGTTTTAGCGGAATACCGGTTTTTCACAAATTTCGGTTTAGGTATTAAGAATTAACCGGTTAAACCAAGTTTTGTAATGTCCCCCTCTCCCTTACCCCGCTTGCACCCATCTTTGTACGGCTGCCTCTGTTTAATTCCCGATGTTTTTAGACACATGCACGATATATTCATCATGCAAATCTTATCATGGTGTGTATACAAGATGCTAATAAAAATATTAGCTTTTCTAAATAGAGTGCAAGATAACCACATAGACGAAATTAAATTAACTGATACTGAAATTAATAAAGAAAAATAATTTGAATCTAACGAATAATTTTGATTAAATTCGGCTATACTTTGCTGTCGACTGTAAACAAATACATACACTAAAAAATACTGTCTTTTATTTAAAGTAATTATTAATAACTCCCAATTAACTAGATCATCAGTATAAATCACACTGATATCTACGATCATGTATTGAATTATAAAAGAGAATTATTAAAAGTGCAGCCAAGTTTCCTGACGCTTCAAGATCAAAATAATATAGTAATCACTTTCGAATTTTTTACAAACTTTCATACTTTACGAATACGAAACTATTCAAATAATAAAATTGAAGTGTCTGTTCGTAACGTCAAAATAACAGATTTTTACTAAATACATATCATGAAAGTATATAATTTTGTCTGTCTGTATGTGGTTACTAGCGCGACTGTGAATCATGATTTGGTCCTGGGCTTAAATCGTGTCCCAGGTCGTGCCAAGTACCGTTATTGGATTAATTTGGGTAAAATATTGGATAGTCGTATTCAGCCCTCAATCAAGCACTTAGATTTTTGGGTTTTCTCGTCGTACGTTTTCTTATAGAAAAGGGGGCAAACGAGCATGCGAGTCACGTGATGGTAAGTGACTACTGCCACCCATGAATAACCGCAACACCAGGGGAATTGCAGGTGCGTTGCCAGCTTTTAAGAAAGGAGTGAGCTCTTTTCTTGAAGGTCCCTAAGTCGTATCGGCCAGGGAAAATCGCCGGTGGTTAACAATTCCACAGAGAAGTTGTGCGAGGAAGAAAACTCCTAGTAAAACGCATAATGGTGGCCCGTCAAACATCCAGATGGTGAGGATGGTATCGTGAATTTTGACGCGATGTGCGTTCGTGAAATTTGGCGGCTGGAATTAAACCGAATAATTCCTCAGAGCACTCCCCGTGATAAATTCGATAGCAAATGCACAGAGATGCAACATCCCTACGCAGTGCCAGTCAATCGAGCCGATTAGAAAGAATTCGGACGTCGACGACTCGAACCGCTCTGCGCTGGATGCGGTCAAGTGGATGGAGCTGACACTGGCGTGATGAGAGGCCAAATTTGCGCTTTGTAAAGTTGCAAGCGATGTGCCGACATGAAATACTGCCTCGCTCTGCTGAGCACGCCAAGCTTTTTATAGGCCAATTTGGCATTCCCTTCCAAGTGACCCCAAAACTGCACACTATTCGATATGTCGACGCCGAGGATTCCGATGCTAGTTGAAGCAGCAAGGGGAGTGCCTTAAACCTGAGGAGATACGACAAAGGGGTTATTTTTAGCGGTATACGTGCAAATTTGTGTCTTCTGGGGATTGAACTGGACTAGATTTAGCCGCCCTTAATCCGAGACTTTGTTCAGCAAAGAATCGACATCAGACACAAGTTTGTTCTGATAGCGCCGTGGTAGCTCAGATGGTTAGCGCTCGCTGTAAGTTTCACAGTACGTGAGAAACTCGGGTTCGATCCCCGCCGGCACCAATGAAACTATTAATTGCAATTTTAAGTGCCGATTTACCACGGGCTCATCGGTGAAGGAAAACATCGTGAATAAACCTGCATGTCTGAGAAATAAAAAAAATATATCTCGAAGACATATGAAGTTCGCCAACAAGCATTGGGGCGCGGCGGACATTTACTTGCCCTAAAACCCTCTCAGAAATAAGAGGAGGCTTGTGCCCAGCCGTAGGACGTATAAAGGCTGCAACTTTACTTTACTTTACTTTTGTTCCGGTACTCGGAGCCGTTTCCCGAGAAATATTGGCACGGCCGGTGTATATTGCATCACCAGTGCTGTCGTTGTTACCAGTTTGCAAAATATCATTGATATGCAGTAGAAACAGCGTTGGTGATAGCACGCAGACTTATGGAACACCAGCGTTAACAGGCTTGTAATCAGAGCATGCACCGTCTACTACGACCTTGATGCTCCGATCAGCAAGAAAACTGGAGATCCAATTGCACAATTTCTCGGGAATCCTATAGGAAGGGAGCTTCGAAAGAAGCGCTTTGTGCCAAACCCGATCGAAGGCCTTCGCTATGTCTAAACTAACGGCCAATGCCTAGCCCTTGGATTCTACTGCCTCCGCCCATATATGAGTTAGATAGACCGGAAGATCACCAAGTGATCAACCCCGACGAAAATGGATTCCATTATTTTGGAGAACAAGGAGGTGATGGCGATAGGTCTGTAGTTTGAAGGGTCTGAGCGATCGCCTTTTATAGGGATCGGGTGAATCAAAGCTGTCTTCCATGAATTTGGGATAACGCCTTAGGAGTAGAAGTACCGGAAAAGACGCGTTAAAACAGGTTCCAACTTCGGAGCATACGTTTTCAGCACAATGGAAGGGAACCGAGCGCTGTATAAGCCGCGCATCTGGCATGAAGCACTCAAACCGCGGGATGGTCGGCGGTGTATTCCTCCGTTATCGAGAGTCGAGTTGAACGCAAAAAGAGAGATTAACAAATCGGCTTTCTC